AGAATGGCTCCCCCCCGTCATGTTATTTAGTTTCACGCACTAACACACAATAACTATTATTACAAGTTGACGTGCGATAGCACCAACAACTTGCGCATTACAAACCTTCCGTTCCTTCCACTACTTCTCTCCTAATTTCCTCTCATTTTCAGTAATCCCTCACTCTCTCCTCTCTAATTATGGATCTCAATATGGTGACTTACCGTCAGGAAGACGCTGATACGGCGGCGGAGACTAAAACTTCCGCCGCGGTCAAGTACAAAGAATGCATGAAGAACCACGCTGCTTCCATCGGCGGCCACGCAAACGATGGTTGCCGCGAGTTCATGCCTCTCGGGCAGCACAAGGGCCGCGAGTCACTCGCATGTGCTGCCTGCGGTTGCCACCGCAACTTCCACCGGCGGGAAGTTTCCGGTCTCCTGCACTACTGTCCGTCGCCGAAGCAGATGTTGATGTACAATGTGGGGACCGCCGCAACGAGACAGGACAAAAACGCGATGAATACCGTCCCGTTATCCTCTGTATCACACCATCTGGTTCTTCACCGCCAAGGAGATTCGCGGGACCATAACCAGCTTAATTGTGAGGATCGGCGGTCAGAGACGCCGGAGAGGGAAGAGATGAACGTGGAGGGCGGGACGAGGGTGAAGAGATTCAGGACAAAGTTCACGCAGGAGCAGAAAGATAGGATGCTGGAGTTCGCAGAGAGGATAGGGTGGAGAATGCATAAAAACAACAGGGTTGCTCTTGATCAGTTTTGCAGTGAGGTTGGCATCAAACGAAATGTGCTTAAAGTATGGATGCACAATAACAAGAATTCACGCCGCCGTAGTGAACCGCCGTTGGAACCATCTTTGGCGGGTCCACCACCGCCAGCAGCAGCGTCACAGCCCGTCGGAGTCTAATTGTAATCGCTACATATGCCTTATCTCTGCACTTGTTTAATTTCATTAATATATTCTCTCTTCGGCATTAATTTCATCGTATTCCGACCGAACCAACTAATATTAGATTCTTAGTGCTCAGTTAGAGGGACTGGTAGACGTACGTATGAGCGTAACCCATTCAAATTATTTAAGCTTAACTCAGTGAACAATAAAAGAACTCGAACATGCAATTTCAGATGTAATTCGCACATAATCTCATCGGAAGGGCCATGTCAACATGTTCTTTTATGTGAACCGAATTGTACCAAAAGCCAAAAGTCTTGCCAAATACAAGTTCCTATAAGAGCACTGTACGTACAATAAGAACCTTTGAGTTATAGTATAGGCCGAGTATTCAAACAAGAACCAGCACCGGGTAGAAATTGAATTCAAAAGTTACAGGCACATAGAGAACACCCCAATCCAGCATTATTGAGTATCGAAGAATGCCAGGGTGACTCCACTTGGTTTACACCAATCTGCTTGCTTGTAAAGGTCGCGAGATGAGTCGATGAGGTCCAGTTTACAAATGGGCTAGCACTTGGTCTTTTTGTCACAGTTAAGCACCCGGTGGAGATGGAAAGCTTCTCCCTGATCTCCATTCAGCAACCGTCTTTCCAGGCAACATGCAGTTAGCTGCCTTAGCAGCCTCTCAAGATACGAGTGCAAGCAACCTTGATTATCTTTCGCATTCGGATTAGTTGATAAGATCATCGCATTAACAGTGTCTGCCACCACCTCACGTTGTGATTCTTTAAGAAAATATCCGACAGGGGATTCCTCTGGTTGTCGATACGCCAGCAGACCAACGCATTCCTAGAACAATATATTTCAACCAAGAGAGAAAATTAGTTCTGAAATCAATTAGAACATGGGAGAATCTGGCTCTAATCTTCACAGCCTTCAAAGAGAGAAAAATTAGAAACAATTCAGAAAAGAAGCAGGTTAATTGACTGAAAAATAAGGAAAGGAAAAAACTTTTCTCTAGATTTCACTAAAGCCAAATGTCACAGTGGAAAAGAATCTGGTATAGTTATTAGTCAACTTAGACAAGTGAACACAGAAATTATAAAAATTAATCTAGTCAAACAAAAAGAAATTTACCTCCATAACAATCATTTCCGTATAAGAAAGAAACACAAAAACAACGCAAGTTTGCAGAGGAAAGTTGAGAAGGAATTATCTTGATACCTTAACTAAATCGTCAAACCCAGCCAACCCATAATATCTTATCAATTCAACCCTTCCATACTTGATAGCCTCCTCCAGGGCTCCAACCTACAAAATCAGGAGAGCTGTCTCAAAGTCTGGTAGCATTCTCATGTACTGTAAATGCTAATGGATGAAAAGAAGGGGAATCAATGGCCAATGACATTTCTTTCTTTGTTTGTTTCTATTTTGTTTATTCTTTGTTAAGTAGTATACAAATATGTTTTAGTGCTAAAACTAGCATTGCTCTGCAACAAAAATGCAGCTTAGGTTTTTTCAAATGAAAACCAAAGGAAAAAAATGCTAGCCAGAGAGACCTAAAATTGAGCACAGTATGCAACATCATATACAATAATTGCTAGAGGGTCCAACATGAATGTGAATGGCAATAATTCACATCCAGTTCTCAAAGCTATTAACTACACATGAGAACATGCACAGATTGAGTATACCAGTTAATTTTATACCAGAAGAAGCTGGCAGGGATGTAGTCTCATAATATAATGAATACACATAGGGAAAAGATTACATACCCGAATTAATTCTATGAACTTTTGACAGTGCAACAGAAAGCAAGTAGCTGATTTGTCATCCTGCAGTGAGAAAAATTGATTGTTACACAACATGAAGATAATTATGCATTGATTCTAAGTCCTCATCCCCAATTGTCATTAAAAAGTATGTTCCTATTCCTCGCCTCTTGTTTTTCCAGATAAACCCTGTCAAATCTCATCAACAAGCCCACATCCTACTACATCTTTCTTTTACTGCAAAAGCAAGTTGTGTCTTATATCAACAATCCAAAAACTCATAAAAATCGAAACCATCCCAATAAGGCACTAAACAATTAAGTACCTGAAGGTTAGGGAAAGAAACCAGTGACATAACCAATAAGAACAAATAAAATTAAAATTTAGCTAGATGGCTAGAAAAGGAAAAGCTTGGGGCATGGAAGAAACCAGCTTCAATGCTGTGAAAAAATGGCTATGGCACCATATGAAAGTCAAAACAGGATTCTAAACATATGTTTATAAGCACAATCAACACATATTCAATCAAAGGCATGCTTTAATTATCCGAGAACTATAGCATGTTCGTAACAGCAAATATTCTAGAGCTCACCTGAACAATCTGGGGATACCAATCACGAAGCTTACTAAATGCAGCATCAATCTCACCATTCCTGATTAGCTTCATCGAAGGAGGAAATGTCTTAGCTTCATGTGAAAAATTTCTTTGATAACAAAATTCACTAGTAGAAGAAATAACAGGAAAACTTGAAAAGACTATTATAATTACCAACTACTTCATTATAAACATGACCATTTTTAAACAACGCCTTACCTGTCGAAGAGTCTTCCTCTGATTTAGGGCATAGCAAATGTCCTGTTCATCAAAGCCATTTTCTTGAGCAACAAAGACAGGAGGGACAGAGCTTTTACTAGCTAAGTCAAAGGACTTGAGTGTATCTTCATAGCCATAATGCAATAGGTAGGAGCGAACAAGTCTGTTCATTGAAAAACAAATAAAATACTAAATTAGATCACATGCAGAATAAATTAATCATTGAATTGAGAATAACATGATGAGGTAACAACGTAATATCTATCGAATTCATATCTATCGAATTCAACTGAACATATTATGTTTTCATTTTATATTGAAAAATATCATCTGGTAAAATACACTAATACAGTTCCCTGAATGAATTAAAGTAATATGTTCCTGAGTGATGACCTACTGTTCCTAATTCCTCACAAGCATGTGTTGGCTCAGTGAAATACTAGCAACATGTAATGACTGGTAGCATGGTGACTTAGAAAGAGCATACAAGATGAATTATTAACAGCTACCTTCTCAAACTACATGATTGAGTACCTAGTCATTATTGCTGAGAAAATAAAAAATGTACTTGTTATCACTTGTAATTTCCAAGGATTCTTAAACAACACATTATCACACACCTACATCCAAATTGAATCCTAAACTAAATGGCATTCAATATATATATATTTTTCATCAGTAGGTTGAAACTTCCACCTGGAAAGGTACAAAAGCAAATAAACAATTATAAAGATACCAGAACAAGCTCAAATCTAGTACTTCGACTTCTACTTCATTGCTTATTTGTATAATTTCATTATTCTCACTTGTTTTTTGAATGCTTCCCTCCAATTACCACAATTTGAATGCTTCAAACACTTTTAGAATCCCAGCGTTTCCATGCTTTACAATCTAGTGCAGCCTCTATTGCACTCCTTGGAAACCAGTTAATGCATGGAGTGACCAGCTACAGTATTTGTTTCATTTTCAAAACGCAACCAGATTTTTTAATCTAAAATATTTGGAAAGGGATCAGGAGGAGAGACTATATCATGTAATAAAAGTAGGTCATGATAATCTTTGTCAATAAGGCCTTGAGATCATCATCAATACCTCAACTATAAGGAGCATTATTTTGATAGCAAACGACTCTTTACCAAAACAGCAGATTGCACTTTATCCAATCTTGGGATACTTTCTTTAAACTCAAACATCAAATCATTCCATAGGTAATCAGAGCAGAGGATTCAGAGCATAAGGATACACTTACCCATAACTAATATTTGGTGGTAAAGATATCTTTTCAATTGTCATCTGTTGCTTCATCCTTTCTTGAGCTTCATATTCCTAATTATATTACATAAAAATTGACATTGATAAATAAATTTTTTTTTTAAGAAAGAAATTTAATGCACTAATTTGTAGACCAAGAGACACACAACTAAGGATTAAGGAATATACAAGTTTAAATAATATACTCTGAGAAAACTAAAAAGGAAGATTAAGTACAGTAAGCATATCTTACCTTAACACTAAAAGCAAATTTTTTTCGCCCAAAGTTGACATGAACCCTGCAATATTGAAATCAACACACAATTGAAAAGAAATAGAATGTGATAATGATGTATTTCTCCTGGCAATAAAATTTGGAATGTAATTTCTCATTTCATTTTATTAAGAAGTTTCTTCACTAACAAAGAAATGGCATTCAGTAACTTATTAAATGATTGAATTCAGTAGCTAATTGGTTATTCTGTAACTAAAACTTATTCACTGTGCTTCACACAAGTTTCTAATGAACCACAGTTACATTGACAACAATATGTTGCTTAATATGCCCCCTAAAAGGAAGGGGCTCTCTCAGTGAGCTAGAGTACTTATCTCAAAAATGTCGATAACAAAAGTATCATACATGCACAGGGTGATTGCACATAAGATAATAAGAGCATAAATGCAAAAGCAAGTTACAGCTAGTGGGCAAAACAATGTAGAAATCAATATGACTCTTTCACTCTTGGGATAACTCCACAAGTAGCTGCCTTATTACCGTAGAGAAATTGTACAATTCATATGAATATACAAAAGAAAAGGTATAACATACTCCTCATTTTGGCTGTGAACTGAAACTGTAGGAAACAAGGGACCCTTCAAATCGTTGTACACGTTCCCAACTATTTCTCCATTTTTACTGGCACAACATAATGAGCAAATATAACAATAAGAATTTCAGTATTAATGAATAAAATTCACAGTCATCAATTTGCATGCACAAGCGAGCTTATAAACTGCACAAAATAGAAACTGTCTTACGTGAAAAAGAATTCCTGAGCAGCATAGTTTATGCCGCCTCCAACTGTATCTCCTGTGGTATAGGTTGGGCCAAAAGGCTCCCCTTTCCCTCGTCCACGATAAAGAAATCCATCGTCTCCATGATAACCACAACTATTTGGTTCCCACCTGACAAGGGGAAATAGAGCGCACTATTGAATAATTACCTTCGCTTTTTTGTATCATCACTACATAAATCCTATTGAGCGGGACAGGTTCTCAAGATAAATTATATATCTCCTAAAATGGCCGATAATCCCTTTCTTTTTCT